CATGAGAGACTATGGACTCCAGGAAACAAACTGAGGGTTTTAGAGGGGAGGCGTGTGGAGGGAGGGGTTAGCCCAGTGATGGGTATTAAGGAGGGCACGGATTGCACAGAGCACTGTAACACTACGTAAACAATGAATCATGGAACACTACATCAAAAACTAATGATGTACTGCATGGTGACTAACATAAAATAATAATAAAAAAATAGGTGTTGTTGGAAGTGAAACAGGTGAAAGAATGCCACAGGGAAAGGAGCACCTACTATTTAAATATTTGCCTTCAGACTGGGGGAGAATTTGGATTTCATGTGGACTAAACCTGAAAGGGTAGCTGTGCCAGTCCCCTGCCTGTGTTCTCTCCAGTCCATTCCCCACTCCTCCCCGCTCTGCTTTGTATTTCAGGAAACTGTATTTCCCAGGGTCCAGTGCCCACTGGCTTGTGGATGGGCTTGGTCAGTGGGAGCTTCATCTGCAGGTGGGAGGGTCACAGCAAGGCAACAGCAAGCTCCCTCTCTCCCTCTCCTTTGCTTGGGCAGCATAGCTGGCTACGGCTGTGGCTCCTCTGTGGTTCCAGAAAGCGCCAGCCACGTCCTCCATGATTTCAGTGTCCAGCTGGTGGTGCTGGTCCCGGGCTGTGGGAATCCCTGGGTCCTTCCAGCCCGGGGAAGGCAGAGGCTTCCTACTGATGCTCATCCTGGCATTGTGTCACCTCCCCCTACTTGGCATCTTGGCTCTTCAGTTACTCAAGCAAAAAATTCCCTGTGTAAAATCTCTGTTTGAAATCTCCACGGATGATTTTCGTTTGACTGCCTGCACCCTCGGTGAGAGAGGAGATAAACTCCTGAGGGGGAAGCACAGCAGAGGCTCTGGCCTGGCAAAGAACAACAAAGGGTCAGGTAGAAGATTAAGCCTGTGGGAAAGGAGAGGGTCAAGGCCACCTAAAAACAGGGATTCTTAGATATGCGGCGACTATGCTGTTGAGGCAACGCCATTCTGCTCCTGCTGGGTCTTTGGAAAGCTGAGGAAAGTTCTCTTTCTATACAAATACAAGGGCAAAATGTTGCCCAAGAAGAGATGTCACCTACGTAGGCAAGCCACAAGGCTGGAGGATTTGGGATCCAGTCCATTGAATTTAAATCAGCTGGATGGGGCTCTTGGGAATGACTCACCAACTCAGAATACCAAAGCTGGAAGTTGTCTTCTTCCTTCAGATTATATGCATGAGGACACTAAAGCTCTTGTACGGGAAAGTGCTTTGTTCAAGGTCACACAGCTGGCATAGCTGGAAGGAGAGCTCCACTCTCCTAATTTCAGGGTCTTTTTTATGCTATCCCTAGTGTCTTTCCCATGGCCCGAGGTTTCAGCTCATTACATTACAGGCAAAGCAGCTTTGCTCCTTCCATAACTAAAAGATTCTAAACAAGTTTGAATGGGTTGGTCACATAGTAGTAATTTCTAATTTTGAACTAAACATAATAAGCATGTGACTCATTCCAAAGTAACCGGTTTGGAAGGTTTTTAAGTAGAATAAGGTAATTTAATAAAGCAACAGACATTATATAGTCAAATAAAATGCAGGTAGAATTCAGGTAGTAGAATAGATTTTCCTTTGTGAGTAAAAAAAAGCACGCAAACAAAAATAATCCTTTGAGACTATGGTATTTGCTATATTCTCACACAACTAGCCTTTATAAAATCCTACAGTTGTATCACTTCTGCATGAAGACAGAACGCCACGGTTTGGTTTGAGATAAAATAAACTCCTCGAGGCCAAGACTTTAGAGACATTATCTGTTTAATAAATATGATTGTAAAAGCAATAAACAAGAGCAAGTATACATTACACTACATAGTATTTAACAAAAAATACATCAAAAAAGTCATTTTAAAATTAGAAGTAGTTCCGATACTATAAGAAAACTTTTTTTTTTTCCTTTAAATTGGCTTCCTATAAAAATAAGTTGGCAAATGAGGGATTTCAATGCTCAGTTGGAATCCTGGAAAACAGAACAGTTGCCAAACACCCCATTGCTCTCAAAGTTGCTGTTTGGAACTTGTGGGAAAAAAGCAAAGCAAACCTCTGCATTTTGGACCGTGAATCCAATTAGGAATAAGGCAAAGGAGAAAATGTTGGTTGGGTAGTTCAGGGTAGAGCGTGCACAGTTTGCCTTCTGGGATTTTTGGAAAATGTTGTAATATCAGATTTCTAGCTTGCCCTGAATCTTCCCTTCCACATCCATCCCTCCCCACTCACTCCTCTGGCCTGAAGCCCACCAAACTCCTCATTGTGTTTGCATCTGCTGTTCACGAGTCGGTAGGCACTTGGGTCCCTCTCATTTGTAGGCTCTCATCACTGCCTTCTCTTTGGGATTGAGCTGGAGTGGCCGAGTGTGGTGGTTCCCAAAGTTCTGTGGACATCACTGTCACCTGAACAGCTGGGCCCACCCCCTATAGTTTCTGATTCAGTAGGTCTGCAGTCAGGGGACCCCAGATTTTCATTTCTAGTAAGTCTGAGGGGATGCTGATACTGCTCAGTCCAGATACCACGCTTTGAAAACCACAGCGCTAGATCGTAAGAACAATAAGGTCCCCTTGCCTCACTCTTCTCCTACAAGTGGAAGGGAGCTTTGAGGAGAGGCACCTGAGGGTCCCGGAGATGCTGAATGGAGAGCTGGCCATCTGTGATCACTTTCCAAAATGCCAGGCATCTCACGTCTACCTCCATTTTTAATTAAGACTTACACATCCATTTTTCCTTATGTCTTCTCATGTATTCTTCCATTTATCCCTACAACAAAGTAATTTTCTTAATACCTACTCTAGGCAAGGCACTGTGCGAGACTAAGAGGGTTATTCCCTTTTTCATAATTTTCCAATTAAAATTAATTGAACGGCAACTCTGAGGACTCCCTGTGCTGTTTTGAGTGAGCTTCTTTTGGTTTCCAAACATTTTGTCCTCCAGATTAAACTTGGAAGGCTCCAACTGAAGCGGATCGATGAGGATGTTTCCTATGGGATAGGAAGCCTGGCAGGTTGGGGATCAATTGAGTTCTACAAACAGATGGCCGCCTCAGGCATAATCCATTTCCCAGATTCATCCTGGGTATCTTCAACCACAAAAACTTCCAAATGATTCACTTCTGATTGCAGCTTTGCTACTCTTGCCCTGCCTAAGCTATATGAAGGCAGGGATGGCCAGGATCTTTGGGACCCCCAGGATCACCAGGACCCTGTTATCGACTGTGACTGGCCTGGGAACTTGGCCACAGGGGAGGCTGCTCTCTCTGGGTGGTTTTCAAAACTGCTTTCTCCTGTATTTTAGAGTAGGCTTTGCCTAATTCATAATCCTTCAAGGCCGCCTGCTGGACACACATTTGTTTCTTTCTTACTCTGGGTCTTCTTTCATTATTGACCGGGGCAAATGGGGATTGATTGTTCATGCTCTGAGCCAATCTGCCTTAGTTAGACATCTACCTCCTCCCCTTTTGGCTTGCTAATTTTTCCTTTGCCAATAATATGATACTCAGTGATCAGAGAGCATAACTGGGAAATGTCTGGAATCATTCTAAATCATCAAAATCTTATCCTAATGTAAGACAAGACCCCCGTACATTCTCAGACTTTTTGACATTCTTAAATATTCAATTCATTAACCTGCTTCTTCTTCTGGTTAAAATCAGTTTTATTTTACAAATATTTTTACTGTACTGTGAGAGAACAAATACTGGGTAATAGCAACCATTACAGAAGGAAATTGCCCTGCCACACAGTAACGCATTTGAAACATTTCTCACAAGAATATTCTGGAATCTGCACACGAGAGTTTTGCTAAGGTGTGAGAATACCACTACGCATCTGTATGCTTTCTTTTCCAGTGTATGTGGTCAGGTTTGAATTGCTTTGGATACATCAACTCTTTCACACACTTTGCGTGTTTCCGGGTGGGAAGAGGCAGGTTCTACAGGAAACTAAGGATACAGGGAGCTGAACCCTGCAGGGCAGGATGTATTGGGTCAGTGTGTAGAGGTGTAGGGAAGCTGGCATGCTGACAGATCTGAAACGTGTGCGTGGCGGGGGCAAGGCCGGCAGAGGCTAGGCCAGTATTTAGGAAACACTGAGGTTAATGTCCAGAATCCAATAACATGTTTGGGAAGAAAAAGTAGGGGGAGTTGAAAGACAACTTCGAGACCGGAAGGAAGAGGTACAAAGACATCAACAGATGATGACCACATGGGGATAGCAAACAAATGGGGAGGCCAGACGATGGGGAGCTGGGATTCTCTTTTCTACATAAGTTGGGGGGCAGGAACAGGAAAGCTACAAGGGAAAGCCTTTGTGATGGGAAGGGGTGGACAGGAAACAGAGATCCTTTCTGACATGCTTGCCCCCGCAGCTGGCTTTCCCTACTCTGCCTGCTTACGTGGAACTTGACCTCGCTCCTTCATCCCTGTGGCCGCTCAGAATGCAAAACCCAAGCAGCCTCACTGCCACTGCTGGCCCCCTGGAGCTACCAGAGATAACTTAGAAAAGAAATTGGCAATGAGGAAAGTGGGACAGAGAAACAGCTCAGGGTTTCACACTCCTGTGCATGTCGTTGTGTCTTATGAAAGGGGCTGGGGCGGCTAATCCCCCCATCAGCCTCTAGGGCTAAAATTGGTGTTAAATCTAGGGCCAAGAATATTTCCAAAAACACATGCAGATTTCCTTGGCCTCTATATGTTATGAATTTTCTACAAACACGACCGATCAGAAAAAAGAGAGAGAAGAGGAAAGGGGAGGGGAGTGTTTTTCCATTAAAATAGAGCACCTGTACACTGCCCCTCCAAGCATGTTCTCAAGGTATTGTCCACATGCACAGGCTTAAAGCTAAAAACCCTTGTTGTCTGTGTCTGAAGAATTAAAAAGTCCCGATGCAGTGAGTGTTTGTTTGTCTGTCTGTTTGTTTGGATTTTGATTGTTTCTATTTTATTTGTTTGTTTGTTTTTGTTTTTACTGGCGTCCTCCATTCAAACATTTACATAGGTAGGGATTTCTTTTGTGCTTTGATTCTCAGCAACTATGGAAATACTTCCTGGCAAAATAGGAAACAGAACAACAAAGGAAAGAAAAAAAACATAGAGTTAGTGGTCAGGAAGGATGGTGCACTTGACAAGAGCGAAATTCTTTCCTGATCAGCAGGTCGCCTGTAGCCTTTGGGGGTTTTCCTTAAATTGCAAATTGTGCCCCAGCAGATCCCCGCTTTGGCGTTGGAGGTGGAGTGGCGTGTCTTGCTCTTTGCAATCGGAGAGATGAGTCACCAGGTTGAGTAGAAGGGGAGGGAGGGGAGGGTAAAGCTACTCTCCTAAGAGAAAATGTGTAACACTTACTCATTTAATGACACTGACAAGGGAAAGGTGTCAGAGACTGTGCAACGTGCTGCGGGATGCTCCTGGTGAAGGAGGGTTTGCTACTTTAATACAGTCAACAGCGCCATGCTTCATACCCCGTGGAAATGGGATTGAAAACCAAATGACCCACAAAAATGCACTTAGAAGCTTTAGAAGTAAATAGGGTGAACGCTTCTCTGGACTTGAAGACAGAAAAGGCTTTTTCTTTTGAACCTAAAGCAATTACACATTTATCACCCTGTCTCCCCAAATAAAAGCCAGCACATTGTGAATGCCGGACCCCAGATAGGGTTCCAGCTGGTATTATTATGTCTGAGACAAGCCAGGCCCTGCACTGAAATCTCACCCACGGCACCATCACAGAACTTCTCCCACATCTGCTTAAAGAGAGGGCTGTTTCTCCATTTAGGTGCTCCTTTCCCTTTCCAAGTCACGGATGAGAAATCTCAGGGAGCACCCTTCTAGAAGGTTTGGTATTCTGACATTAGAGTGAGGCACAGACAGTTATCTAGTAATGTATCCATCTCGTTCCACAATGCAGGATTCAGGTGGCACCATGACAGCTTCAAGTCCTGACACCACCAGACAGGGTGAAACAGGGCCAGCCATGGGTCACAGTGGCGGCTCCAGGGGTCTGTCTAACTCCCTGGAAATTTTCCTCTGCCATAGAGAGTAGGATTTAGCGATTACACCTGGGACTCCGGACCTAGCTGTTGGATTCCCAGCTTACTTTGCAGGCGTAGAGAGAGAGCGAGAGCTCTACTGATATATGATAAGGTCCACTGTAAGACTTCTGCCAGGGACAGGTGAACAGGAGGGAGAAATGTGCCCGTTGGCCCTGTAACAGGTTAACTCCCCAGGAGTCTCTCTCAGGAAACCTTATTCCTGGGGTGTTCTGCAAACTTTCTGCCTCTTGGCCTCAACATTCTTAGGTTCCATGTTTCGGGACTAGGGGGCAGTTTTTAGACTCCTGCTAATTAAAAAAAAAATCCCAGGGTAATCAGCTTGGCCCTCCTCTATTCTGTCTCCTGATGTTGCTTCTCTACAAGCATTCTGGAACAATTTGCCCTCCAAAGAGTTGTCTTGAGGCCATGTGGGCCAGGCCTACCCTATCATTCCCTACCCTGCCCGGCCCTCCACATCACCAGATCTAGCCTCTGAGGCTTCCTTCTTGCACATTGTTAGAGTCAACGCTCTGCTCTTTGACCATGAACATTTTGAAGCCCCGTATTTTAGAGCAAGAGATTTTGCAAGAGGAAGCATAAAGTCAGGAGAGAGAAAAAAAACACTACATAGGAGCAAGAAGGCTTTTTTCCCCTCATTCCAGTTGAAGGAAGCAGGGAAAGAGACATCTTAGCTGTTTCTCTCAGGAAAGTTAGAGCAGGAGAGAGTGGTTACGTCAAGCCAGAAAGGAGTTAGACAGTCAGCGGTTGACTACCCAGGCCGAGCAGCTGACGGCTACTGGGAATCATTTACCTATGAGCTGGCATTCCACCTTCTCATCTATCAGTTGGCCAGGCCTCCTTAGTTCAGTCTGAGGGATATGGGCCCTGCTTTCAGGGTGACTGACCCGACTGACCATCTCTCGTTCTTTCTCATTCTGCATCTGGGCATAAACATTAATCCCCGGGATCTTCCTAAAACATTAACAGACAGCATCATTGCTATGCACGGGAGACGTACATCATGGCAACACGTGCTTCCAAGCCTGTCAGGGAGAAGGAAGGGGGAGGGAAGACAAGGACAGAGGGCCTCATACCTTTTAAACTTGTAGATGACAAACACGGCCAGCCCCACGAACACCACCGAGAGCAGCATCAGCATGGCGGATCCACTGTGGGTTGGAGTGAGGTCCACCAGCGGGGCTAGGGGAGAACACAAGGCATGGTCATGGGCAGGGCACGCCTGACTCCGTGAGGTGCTGACACTCTTCACACAGAGGCACGGTGAGTCCCAGGAAACCCCGTGGGGCCTATGCACAGGTGCGTGTCACATGGCTGACATGGGGGTGGGGGGCATCTGAGTCTTGGCCCAGTCCCTAGAACGCTCCAGCTGGTCTGTGCAGGAAGAGCGGGCGGTGGGGGCCCTGGGCCCAGACTGCCCAGATTCCAGGCCTGCATTACCGCGCCGGCCCTGTGATTCTAGGCAAGCGATTTCACCTTAATAGGCTTACGTGGTGGGAGAATAATGGTACGTATCTCGTGGGGTTTGTGTGAGGACTGTGTGAACACACTGACAACAGTGCTGGACACGTATTAAGTCTCCCCTAAGTGTCAGCCTTTCTTACAACGGCTGCTGCTCTTCTTTTTAATCAATATTTAAAACACTATGATTATGAAATTTTCCTATACTCTGAGCGCAAGCTTCTCTAACGTGGAGCAATGCACATCCCCCGAAGGAGCCACGGGAATATTGTGATGAATGATCTGCTGTCTCTCACTCCGGTCCCTGCGACTGTCACTTGAGACAAAGGACTGGGGGGTAGGGAGCACGCTTATCTTTCCAGCACACAGGAAACCAAAGGCTAAGGGAGGATTTCATAAGAGTTGTCACCGTGGTGCAGGTGGAGGGGTGCACGACCCCATGTTGTCTCGACAGTTTCCCGAAGCCCTGACAGCAGCTCATGCCAGGAGCACCAGGCTCTCAGAAGCATGGACGTCTCCTCCTTACAGCCATAAAAGATCCTCCTCCTTGAGTTTACCCCTAGACCACAGCTCTCGGGAACATCTCTCCACCCCCAAATCCTCCTCAATCTTAGGGTCAAATCTGTCGTGCTTTAAGGACTTTGTTTGCCATTAATTTGCACCCTCTCAAGAAACAGACATGTTGCAAAAACAGCATCGCTCAAGCCTGAAAGACAAGCCACACGTACACCTTAGGAGGCCTGGACGCTAAACTTGACCTTCCCCCGTTCAAGGAAGTCTGATACTCAGAAAGGTTGGTGACTTTCAAGCACCATTTTCTGTGGCTTTTCTCTGTTGGGAGCTGAGAAGGCAACGTTCTGGTCACCTGGGTGTGAGAATTCGAGAAGAGTGGCCTGTATGCTGAAGGACCCCAACAGGACTCGAGGCCGCTTCTGCTCTGTCTAGTCAGGCTACGTTCTATTACGTTCCATGGTCAGACTATGTTCCAGACACTCCAGGAAACTGGAGTACACATTCTAGACGTCAAATTGTTTTGCTGGGGAACTGGTCAAACCCTGTTGCTCAGAAAACAGGTTTAGTTGTTTTAGTAGCATCAGCTTTTAGGAAGCAGGAACATTAGGTGACCCCTGTGATTCTCTCTCTCCTACGTCAAGCAGCACTTATGCCGAGCAGGGCAGTGGGTGAGCCTGGGAGTGAGGAGGCCGCAGGGACATACCCAAGGCACACGTGCCTCCAGGTCAAAATGAGAAAACCAAAGTGTCTTTCATTTACTAAGGCAAACACAGTGGCATCAGCAAAGGAGTCCAGAAATACTTCAGAACTCACACTACAACTGGTAGGATGTCACTGGGGAGGGGGCAGCTTCCATTTTACACAGGGATTTTCACAGCTGACTTCCACAAATGGAAGGCAGGGCTGTGACCTCTGCCGGACCGATAAGAACAGTGAGGCTCTCACTGGTTAATGTCTTTCCAAAGGACTCGCAACAAGGAAGTGGAAGAAGGAAGACTTGAACCCGAGTCCTACCACGAACACTCATGGAGCTAATTTCAGTGGAAAATACCAGAAATTTAAAAACATATTTCTGAGAGTGGGGATTAGGGCTAAAACTATAGTGCAAGAAGTAAATTAAGTGATCCAAGTTAAAAAATGATCAAGTCTTAAAAGGACTAGTTAGAATCATAAAGCATGCATGCTCACATGTGACACATGGGTGTACACACCTACGCTATATGTGTGCACACACATGGTGCAGGTGCATAGAGAAACATACCCAGCACCTGGCTTCAACAACCATCAACCCCAGACAATATTGTATTCTTTTTATCCCCATCCAGGCCTCACAACCGCAACCCTCCGTATTCTGAAGCAAATCTTAGCCACCCTGTAATTCCATCTGTAACTCTAAAAGATAAGGTCATCCTCTTTCCAGACATTATCACAATACTCTTATCACACGCAAGGAAATAAAAAACGGGGAGACATTCTAATGCAAACTGTTAGCTTGACAGGGAACAGATGTAGGTTCAGGGAGGGGCCTCTCTGTTTAGGAGGGCTAGAGGCGGGTTAGCTTTATCAGCTAAACTTGTAATTCCTAGCTGCACACTCCTTGGGGATAAGCAGAGAGCAGGGCTATGGAGTAGCCAGGACGGATTCTAGTCTGCTTGAAAGGGATGCATTTGAAATAAATGGAAAAGTAAAGAGAGGAAATTGCTTTGTCCAGGCTCTTGCTAAAAGAGGAAGCAAACACACACACACACACACACACACACACACACACACACACACACAATTTCCCTTTTCTTCCCTTCCTCATCCTTTTTCTCCACATCACAAGTTTCTATCATTCAATTCTAAATCATTCCTACTTAAAGCATCATTCGTATATAAGCAGCGTTAGCACTGGTAAGTAATTAACACAGTATTTTGGAAACATGAGCTTCTGTGTTCTGAGATCTAAAGCGCGGCTGTCTGCTCCCCCATCTCTGCATTGTTTTGTCTCTGAGGGCTCCGGCAGCTGCTGCAGGAGGAGCAGGGTCAGACAGGACATCACTGCCCTGTGGGTTCCACGGGGCTGCTTGCTGACCTGCCCCTGAATGTGAATGGGCCTATTACTGCTGCACACACCACAGCTGCACTATCTTGGTGCGCCCGACGATTAGGTGTGTTTGGGTGTATTCTGCTCAGGAATGGAAAGGGGTTATAAATGGGCTTTAGCTTCTGGTGTGGAATTAGCATAAATTAACGCCTCTCCAGTTGCGGCCTAAACAAGGTAGAAGCCTGAAGGAAAATGCTGAGTGGTTGATTTGCCATTTATGCACACAGAGCAAAGCAGGGATATGTCAGTACTGTAGGGGACCCCAGATTTCTTTCTTCTTTTTTTAAGAGAGGGAGTGGGGGAGGGGTGGAGACAGAGACTCTAACGCAGTCTCCATGCCCAACCCAGAGCTGGATGTGGGGATGGACCCTTACAACTCTGAGATCATGAGCTGGAGCTGAAATCAAGGGTCAGACACTTCACTGACTAAGCCACCCAGGTATCGCTAATTTCACATTTCTAAGTCTGGGTGCGGGTACACACTGTTTCTGAAACCCTGGGAGGACTCAGACATGCACTGAATTATTATGTTCTATTCATGAGGACCTAGGCTGATTATAAAAACAGCAGTGGGTGTGGAGCCTGCTGGGGATTCTCTCTCTCCCTTTTCCACTGTTCTTCCCCCGTCTCTAAAATAAATAAATACATCTAAGAAAAAAAAAAAAAGAAAAGAAAAAAGCTTGTAACAGTCCTGCAGGACAGAAACTCATTTAACTCACTATAACGTTTCCCAAAATCCAATGGCCACAGCCCCTCTGCAGACCAAGGTCCTGCACCACATGCTTGAGGAAGTGCTTTTACCCTGAGTACCACATTCCCCTTTGCCGCAGCCTTGCCCCTTGGTTCGGTTTATTTCCAAGTTGTGAAGTCAACAATATGGCAGCACTGGCGGGTGACACTGGACTCTTTGTGTTCATTCTTATTCGAGCAAAGGGACTTTCTTGGAGACCTTCTCCCTGCACTAGGACTCTGAAACCCCGAACTACATTTCTAATCCAGAAGTTAGTGTGGTCAAGGAACTTAGAGAAACAAGTTTGCAAATGTGAATTTCTTTACAACTCTTCTGCCTCCCAAGCAGAACTATACTGGGCTTTAAAGATTTTATTTTATTTTTTTTTTAATTTATTTAACAGACAGAGTTCACAAGTAGGCAGAGAGGCAGGCAGAGAGAGGAGGAAGCAGGCTCCCCGCTGAGCAGAGAGCCCAATGCCCAGGGAGGCACTAATGACTAGTGAAGCATTGTGGCTCATTTGAAAGTGAAGATGAGTCTTCAAGAACATTGAGTCATGGAGTTTAGGTCACTTGGCCAAGTCATGACAACTCTGGGTACCAAATGTATTACGGTAATTGACAGACAGGAGGAGAAAGATGCATTTTGGTTTTCTAGGGTTGAAAGTCAACAAGAAATCCTGCTTACTTTGGCAAGTGTTTCTCAAAGTAGAAGTTTACAGACTACCTGAATCAGAAGCACCTGGAGAATGTGTGAAAATGCAGTCTGCTAGGCTTCAATCGAGAAAAAAAAAAATTACATCTCTGAGAATCATTCCCAGAAATCTGCCCATGTCACATGCTACAAATGTCATGGTGACGTGTGCCAGTTTGAGAGCACTGCATGTTAGGTCCCACCTACCACCCTTCCTAAAACATCCAATACTTATCTTAGAGTGTGTCTGACCTTTATATTCTCTGGGTCACTAAAAACAAAAGAAGAACACACCCTTTGATTACTACTTGTAGCTTAATCTGGGTATGACTACAAGAGAGCCTGCTAGACTACATAAAAGCATTTCAAGTCTCCCCTCCTAAGAGCGTGGTGGAGACTGGCTGCATTGCTGGATCAATTCTCTACCTCACTCTGTGCCCAAGCCTTTCACATTCTAAGTCTGAAGCTTTTTGCACCAAGAGGTGAAATCTGCTTCCTCATCCCTTGAATCTGGGCTAGGGCGACAATAGCATGGGGCCATGCGATGACATGGGAATGAGGGTGTGCCAATCGTCAGCTTCAAGGCCTCTGCACTTTTGCTTTCTCTCTTGGAATCCTGTCATTGTTACGTATGAGCACGTGCAGAATAGCCTGATCAAGCATGACAGACCACGTGGAGAAGAATTTAATTACCCTAAT